TTTAAAAAAGCCTCTAAAAAAATGCCCTCTACAGGAGGAGGCGGGAGAACCACGTGCCTCATTTAGTCTGGCATTTTATGATCACTCGAGCACAGTTAAGCAAGGGTTAAAAGCCAAAAAATTCCTTATGTAGATGAGGCACGTGGTTCCCTTGCCTCCTCCTGTAGAGGGCATTTTTTTAGAGGCTTTTTTAAACAGTTAAGCAGAGTCATCCTCTGGGCAAAAGAAAGAAAGTGGCAGCCCGCCACTGGCTTTCTTTTGTCCGCCTCTATGTTGGACATAGCGGCGGGCAAAAGAAAGCCAGCGGTGGGCTGCTGCTTTCTTTCGCCCGCCTGTCAGAACTCAGGCGGGCAAAAAAAAGAAAGCGCTTTAGACAGTGGGATGTCGGGGGAGAAGACTGCCTCACCAGCCATAAACCTCATCGCACGTCACTGCAAATATTATACTATAGAATACTATATAGGTTTCTTGCAATTGAATGTAGTAATACATTAGACTTTGAGGTCACAATATTAGCCAATAATCTGTATTTAATACAAAGCTTTCTTTAAAAAAAAACATCTTAATGACCACTTCTTATTTTTTTCAGTCTAAAAAAATGGAAGAGGAAGAGGAAGGAAAAAAATAAAAGCAGGTTTCATCCTCCTTTCCTGGCCCCAACAGATTTTCAGCCGCAGCATAAAATACAGAAAATAGAAGAATATGTCTTTTTCATTCCATTTTGTTCTGATAGTGGGGGGGGTTGTTTGGAATTCTATTTTCAGACATTTTTGCCTTTGTTTTAGTTTTCTTATTAATTTAAAAAAAATCTATAATCAAGCAGAAAATGTTATGCAAACCTAAATCTTTTGGGCAGGTTCTGAAGTAGTCAAAGAGTTTTCCTTAATTTTTATGAGAAAAGACAGCAAGATAAAGCATGTTTCATCCCAGGAATTATAAATGGAAAAAAATGTAACAATGAATGTACCACTGACTTATTCCCACTACTGAAACCTATTATTAAATATTTCAAACACAAATCCATGCCCCCCCCCAAAACCTATAATTGCTGTTTTCATATGAATGCATCAGGAAAGGAGTGAGAATTACTTATCAAGAAAGGAGTGAGAATTACTTATCAAAATCTGTAATTTTGAGATTCCAACTTTTCATAGTTTTTAATTAGCTTTTTATTATGTTGATGACAACTAAAATTATGCTAACTGCAACCTTACTTGTAAAAGCCGTAACCGTTGCTCATTGTTGAATCTTTCCACAGCAGCCCAAAACCATCGAATTACAATATGATTATCATGGTATCCTGTTTAATTACAATTAAGAATATATTATTGAGGGCAATCTTACTTTAAAAAATAATGAGAAGATGTTAAGAAGTGAGAAATATTACAGATGCAGGCCCTAACATTTCCTAAGTTAACCTATAGGATCTATATATGAGATTAATTCTCGTTCCCCTGGGAGACTCTCAGAATGTACTGTCATGTTTGGACATGAAACTTCACAAAAATGTACACGGGTTAAAACATGAGTTAAAAATTACTGATGATAGAAAAGTTGGAGGAATGATGGATATATTATCTAAGGAGAATAAGATAAAGTGACAGAAAAACAGCCTCAGGAAATAATGGGGAACTGAATGGAAGGTTTTAAACTACCTAAGATAAAAGTATGGCAAAATAGTTTGGGATAATTCCTATCGTAGTATGTATCAAATCTGTTTTTTATTAACCAAAATATTTGAAAGTCTGTAATATAAATTGAATAGAACAAGGGAGATTACTGAAAGAACCCTCACATCAGAAGGAATCTCTTGAGTATATGAGTTTTCAGCTAGTACTGTAGAACATGAAATGATAAGTTTTCCTCTGCTAGAAGTTCTCAAATATAGTCTGGGTTGTTATTTATCAGAGATCCTGTGATAGATAACCACTGGGTTAGGAATATTTATTGTTGATGATTTTAATGTTTTTTTATGCTGTAAGGTGTCCTGAGTCACTTCATAGCGAGATGGGTAGCAAATAAATTGAATAATAAATCTATTTAAAAATACTCTAGAGCAGGGGTCTCCAACCCCAGGCTGGGGCCCACAACCAGGCCAAGGCCTGTTCAAAACTGGGCCACGGGAGAGATGGGCAAGCATGTGCATGTGAAACTCCACTCTCATGAGCGGAGGACACTTGTATTCATGTGCAAAGCTCCATTCATGTGGATGGAGGGTATGTGCATCTGCCACTCACACAAATGGAGCTGTGCACAGACATGCATGTGCACCTACCACTCACATGCCCCCACTGGATCCAGCCGCCAAGCTGGAAAAGTTGGGGATCACTGCTCTGGGGGAGCCTCTAGGTTGAATCAGATGACTTCTACTGTTATCTAATCTTATCCCTTTTGAGGAGAGGCTGCCTGTCAGGCCTGCAGTCATATTCCTTGCTGGATCTTTGGCCAGCCACACTCTATTATTTTACTATGCTGTTTCATTAGTGGGGAATTGGGAGNCCTTCCTTCCCTCCTTTCTTCTCTCCTTCTCTCCTTCCTTCCCTCCTTTCTTCTCTCCTTCCTTTCCTCCTTCCTTCCTTCCTTCCCTCCTTTCTTCTCTCCCTCTCTCCTTCCTTCCCTCCTTTCTTCTCTCCTTCCTTCCCTCCTTTCTTCTCTCCTTCTCTCCTTCCTTCCCTCCTTCCTTCTCTCCTTCTCTCCTTCCTTCCCTCCTTCCTTCCTCGCTTCCCTCCCTCCTTCCTTTCCTCCTTCCTTCTCTCCTTCCTTCCTTCCTCCTCTCCTTTCCCTCCTCTCCTAATTTAGAAATTAATTTATTCCTAGATGAACTGTAAAAACATTTATTGTTATTTTTCTATGCCTCTGTCTAAAAGCACTATATACTTGGTTTCTAGTTGTTTGCGCCAAAGTAGTAGCCACTGTGTAGTGTATTTTTAATTTAGATTTTTAGAAATCTTCTACAATGTTTTTGCTTTTGAAAACTACTGGGATGGGGGGAAGGGGAAAGGAGATAAAATAAGATTAAAAAGATAGTGCAGTCCCTGCAAATCGTTGCTGACTATAGGGGGTGGTGCTCATCTCCATTTGCCTTTGAGAGAGTACTGTCATTGTGCCAGCACTGTCCGAAGACTTGTCCACAGTCATGTGGCCAGCAAGGTGTCTTGGAGGGCTGTTACCTTCCCACCAAAGTGATTCCTATTTATCTACTCGCATTTGCATGCTTTCAAACTCACCCCCATCATATGGCACTTGGGTCTCAAATCTGGGCTGTCTGCTTTCCAGCCGACAAGCCAAGGATCTTAACCCGCTGAGCCAACACGTCCCAGTTAAAATAAGAACTTTGCAATATTTTCAAGATTACAAATCAGAGCTTTTCAGCAGCATGCCAAAAGTCATTTGCAAAGAGTGGAAGTTATCAGAACAAAAAATAAAATTAGACTTAATTTAATAGAGTTGCTATTACTTTATTAAAATACGTTGTAAATTATTCATTTGGTGGATCTTAAAACAGAGGCAATACTGTTCTAGCCAGTTCATTACTCTCATATATTTCAGAGCACCAAATCTGCAAATAAATTGTCTCTATTACAACTTTGGTAAAGTACTTGAGTTCTCAGGAAGGAAGACTAGAGTAAGAATTCTCCTGGGTTACATTATATTTATTGATAATTCTCATTTTCTAATACGGTAACATACTTCCTTAGATAATAGGTTTTTTTATGACCATGTCCATTAACTTTCCTTTTAAAATTATTCATTCATTTTTAGTTTCATCATAAAACGAAATTACTATGGATCCAAAACCCAATATAACTTGACAAGAAGTTTCATTCACAGAGGTTCAAATTAATTACCCACAAAGAAGAAGGGACTAAATTGGATGACATAAAGCAGCATCACTGCTTGGTCTCACACCTGTCCATCTTCATCCTTATGAGTAATACTCATTCACCTATATATATGCTGACTCTGTAAACCGCTTAGAGTGGGCTGAAAGCCCTATGAAGCGGTATATAAGTCTAACTGCTATTGCTATTGCTATATGCCCTCCCCTATTTTATCACCCTACATATTTCAACATGGATGGAACCTTTACCCTCATGGCTCCAGTGAGCTCAAAGTGCAGGAAGATAAGGAGAAGGATCTATCTCAATTCTGTTTTCCTTTCTATCTCAACTACAATAAGTTGAAAGTGAACCGTGCACATAGGAGCAAAACTGGTTCCCCTATGACAGTAAAGCTTCAGCTTAATTGACCTGAGAAATGTTCAGGGAAGACTATAATCTTAATGTGTCTCAGCAGAACATAAACTAAGAATGTATTTGCAGCTGAAAACTCAAGACAGGTTAGGCAGTATTTTAAATCAGTCTCCAGTAACACAGCAGCAGATTCCTGGAGGGAAATCTTCCTGCCTCCAAAAAAAACGGGTAGCCCGTCAGTCAATACTAGGCAGCATCTGGAACTTGTACTAGTGAGGGCTTGAAGAATTCTGTACACAAGTACTATGGAATTGAAGAAAACTTTCTTTTCATCCAAAGTTGAGACAGGATCAAAGTACCATTCCTTAAATGTTTATGATTAATCTTATGTTTTATTTAAATATGTTTACATCCATACCTACACTTAAAAGTGCTTACATGCTTTTAAATGTTGTTAAGTCATGCTAAAATTATGAGTCCAGGTCAGCAGCAAAGAAAGGACATGTCAGAATTAAAAATTAATTAAATCTATTTTCAGGCATTCAATGTGTTAACATTTATTATGATCTACATGGAGGCGGGGGGAACATCAGGCTGTTTTATTTCACCTATTCTCAGAGGTATTATTATTGCTCAATCTGAGAGGGTATAAACACAAGAGATTTTCCAGCACACTTTAAATTAACCACAATTTATATGCGATATGACAAGCTGTAGTTAAGGAAAAATAGAAGCAAAATTTTAGAGGCATGCCACAGGAAAGGGGATGAGAGAAAGAATCAGCCAAAGGCTTGCTGCTAATTGTTAAAAGAAAAAGAAAAAATCCAGTGCTGCCTAAGAAGCTCACTGTTGCTGTCTGCTCAACCGTGGCACGACAAAACCGCGCTCGACTAAAGCGCGCCCGATTAAACCGCGTCGGTGACGTCATCAACAGGGCGACAACAGCGAGCGCGGAGAAAGAAGGGCGCTTTAAATAGCGCTTTGAAAGCAAGCCGATTCAACTTAAGGTAAGGGTTAGGTTTAGGGTTAGGGTTAGGTTTAGGGTTAGGTTTAGGGTTAGGTTTAGGGTTAGGTTTAGGATTAGGTTTAGGTTTAGGGGTT